GCTGACCTGGGACCACAAAGTCGAGGTTCGACTCCCACCCTGCCAACCCCACGTCGTAATGTCTCTGGACAAGACACCCAATCCCTAATTGCTCCCCGGGTGCTTACATAGCCGCCCACTGCTCCACCTGGGAGATGGCTACATGCTAGCAGCCTGGATACATGTTAGCAGGCTGGATGTCTGGACCTCCCTGATCAAACTGCTGCCCCCGAGACCTGACTTCAGAACAAGCAGAAGATGATGGATGGACGGATGGACGGACGGATGAATGGATGGATCAGGACGAATGGTCACGTGACCAAGGGCGTGCAAACAAACAAAATAAGGAAAATTACTTTAAATGGTTAGAAACTGGTACAGATTCCCACTCGTCTGCGTCGATCTGCACACGACCTGAAAACCCTCAAACGTGGTTTATTTTGAAGGAACTTCTCTGAGAGATCCTAGAGAAGCTTCTGACAGCAGCTGCTTGAAGACGTGTTTTCTGCTCCAGATCTTTGTGTTACTTTGGATTCATCAAATCAAAGTGAATATTCCAAGTTGAACAGAAGGACATCTTTTCTTTTCTTCCTGCTGTACTTTGTTCTGATCCGAACCTTCTTCTGTCTGCAGCCTCTCTTCCTTTAAACGTGCATTTCATTTCTCCTGCTGCTCTCTGGGGAGCTCCATGCCCTGCGTGCCAACAGATGGAGCCCCGAGGCTCTGGGACCGCACACACAGGACCACTGTGGGGGGTGGGGGTGAAAAGCGATGTCAACATCAGTGCGAGTTGTGGGTCGATGAAGTGGAAGAACACGTCCATGAAGTGGGATGAAAACTTATCCGACTTGTTTAAACTGATTCAAAGAAGAATCTGCGTTTGGCTCCAGCGGCTCGTTTCAGGACATCTGTGCACCATCGGACCTCGGTTCTGCACCGTCCTGGAGCGAGCCGCTGGCAACTCTCCGTCCGTTTGAAGCCAGATTCTGTTCAGAACCGAGGTCACGGCTCGCAACGCCTCTTCTGCTCAGACTTTCAGTGAGAACAGCAGCTGAAGCTGCTTCAGCCTGAAACACTCCAGCAGGGAAACAAACGCTTCACGTCGTCCCTGGTCTGCACGACACAAGGTGGACGTCATCATGGCAGCTACATGACGCTGTCAGAGAAAGGTCTCTGGTCCATTTACTAGAACTTTTAGGGCAAACCTGCCTTCGTGGAGCTTCCAGCGTTCTCCACACCTTCAGACCAGATCAGAGTCGAACGCTCAAATTACAAAAACAATGAGAGGAACGCAGAAGAACAAGAATACACATAACGTTCTGCTATCAGTCCATCCATCCATCTGTCCATCCATCCATCCATCAGTCCATCCATCCATC